ACTAAGCCTGATGAGACTGTGGGGGATAGAGAAAAGAGAGGGAATCAAAAGTAACAATATAGCTAAGCCCCATGCCTTGCCCATGGGGCTACAAGGGTTTAATCCCTACCCCTAGAAGGTGTCAAGTTGTGGCTGTGTTGAGAAAGAGCCCTGTGTGGGCTCCAAATGGTCCTGGTTCAGACCGAGACAGTGGTGGAGCTACGGTCAATCCCTATCTGGCCTCCACTGTGGTAAGCCAGAGTCCCCCAGCTCCTCAAACCTAATGCACCTGTGCCTATTTATCTTTATGATGCTCCTTCTGCGATCCAGCAGTGTAGAATTTCCCTCTTAGAAACTCTCCTGGGCTGATTTCTGTGGAGTCCCTCTACTATGTGTTACTCAGTCTCGATCTTCCCAGAAGTCTCTGATTTGCTTTTTAAACCTTCGCCTAACTCACAATAGTTAAAAAAAAAAAGAAAAATATTTGACTCTGTAAACCTTCACCCACACCAAAGTAAATTAAAAACAAAAGAAATATTCAATTAAGCTCAACTTTTAAAACTTATTAATAATAACAATATGCTGTGCATTTATATGCCTATATTTTTTGACCTGTAGATTTCTATAAGAATAAATATTTTCTACCTTAAGCCATGAAGTCTGTGGTAATTGGATACAGCAGCATAAGGAACTTAGAAGGACGGTGAATTCTTTTTGATCTCCAGAGAAATGAAGCCCAGAATATATTTGAGATTGTTCATTATAAATGGAATGGTAGTGTTTGTTACTGTCTAATTAACAAGGCTACATATCTGCAAATTTTGCCTTGGGAGGAGATAAATTTGAGTATTTAGAAATAGCTGCATTATTTAATAAACTTTATTTTTCTGATTTGTGTTTCATTCTGATTTGTAGTCTTTGATGTTTGCTAATGAGATTTCTTCAGTTCTAAGCATCATTTTATTATAAGTTAATTGATAAATAATAGCAGGCTTGGTGTACAAATGAATGTGTTTTAAATCAAAGGTTATTCAATGACTTTTTTCATTTGACATGTAAAATAATCATATTATAAATTTATATAATATGTTCTCATATTTCACCGAACCAACCAAATCAGAATCTCCCCAGTATCAATTGTTAAATTCTTTCAAAGAGAATATGAAACACACAAAAATTGAAAACAATTTACTTAGTGAATCATTATTGACGGATATAAATGGAATCCTTCCCAAAATATTACCTCTTATATAACACATTTGACACACATGTGGGTGTTCTGTGTTTTTGAAATTACAATATCCATGCTCCTGATATGTTTCATATAAGTAAAGGATAGATCTCAAAAGAAAACTTTGTGCCATATTGCAGTCAAATTCTCCAATTTTCAAGGAAAATGAGAGACTCATGAGAATAGCTAGGGAAAAAGAATAGTCACTTACAAAGAAAAACTGTTAAGGATGGGCTCTGTCTATTCTGCAGAAACTGTGCAGAAAAGAATGAAAGGAAAACACAAAAAAGAAATAAAAAATGCACACACAGCAAAATGACAACAATGAATCCTTACATATCACTCACCACGTGGAATGGATTAAATGTGCCAATCAAGAGGCAGAGTACAAGACTGGATGAGAAATCAAGATCCATCTATGCTCTATCTATAAGAGATCTACCTTAAACTCAAAGACTAAAATAGACTAAAAATCAGACGATGGTGAAAATTTTCCAAGCCAATGGCAACCATAAAAAAGTAGGAATGGCAATATATTCTTTGACAAAATAGGCTCAAGGCAGTGACATAATGAAAAACAATGGTACACACTGCATAGTAGTTAAAGTAACAATAAAACAAGAAGACAACCATATCAAATACATATCCACCCCAATGAAAGACCCTGAAAACATATTATTCAAATTCTCCCAGAGTTGAAGAGAGAAATACACAGTTCTGCAATAATAGGAAAATTCTATACATCATTCTCAAGAAAAGACTGATCATCAGGAAAGAAACTCAGTAAAGAGGTAGAAGATATAAACAATACAATCAACCACTTCTCCCAATGGACATTCTCTTCCTTTGCACATGGTACCCACTCTAAAATAAATTACATGTTAGGCCACAAGGCAAGCCTTAATTAAAAAAAAAAACTACCAAAAAAACTAAAACCCCACCAAAAATTGAGCTCTTATAACCTTTTTCTCAGACCAAAATACTATAAAAGTAAAAATCAATCATAGGAAGAACATAAACACAAAACCAAACACATGGAAACTGAGCAACACCTTACTTAAATATTACTAGATAATAGAGGAAAAGGGGATGAACTTAAGAAATTCCGTGAAGCAAATTGTAACCATAACACAACATACTAGAAGTTTTTGAACACAGAAAAAGCTGTTATTAAATGGCAAATAATAGTAATCAATATACACATGAAAAAAGGGGAGAAATCCAAAATTAATACAACATCACCAACAGCTAGGACAAGAGTAACCAGATGAGCCCTCAACCACCGGGAGAAACCATAAAGATTGCACCAGGAATAGATGAGAAAATAGAGGAAGAAACAAATTAACATGACAAGAACTTGTTCCTTTGAAAGGATTAACACAATTGACAAATCTCTGGCAAACATAACAACAGAAAAGAAACAAGAAGAAAATATCTAGGGTTACAGATGGAAAGGATGACATCAAAACATATCCAAATGAAATAGAAATAAGAACACACTACTATGAGAGAGTATACGCCAATTAGTTTGATAACTTAAAAGAAATGACAAAATATCTAGAAATACAGCGGGCATAGTTCTGCCTTAGTGGATGTGTATTTTAAAATTGTTGCCCTATCTCTCATTTGCATAAATATTATCTAGTCATTTAGGTTTTAATCTGTACAAGTCAGTAATCAAGTACTATCTTATACATGTATACTTACCTTTCTCAACAGTATTTTAAATTCTATACCACCTGCTAAATTGATGATAAAATCAATAGAACTAAAGTGCACTATCGGGATGATTTATAATTTTCTAGATTAAAATGATAATGATGTTTCTGAAATGGATTAGGGACATATATAAACTCTTGATATAAAATGGATTTTGACCTTGCGCATAATCATGAACCCTAATCTAAGAATAATTAGTTCTTATACATGGCACTAATTGATACTTCCCCTTATAAAGATATCACTGAAGATATGGGTGCTACAGAAAAGTGTGGGGAAGAAATTACAAATTGCCCAGCTGTCAATATAGAGTTTAGAATTTTAAAAGTATGTCTTAAAACAACAGCCAAGTGAGGTGTCAGCTAAATTCACATGGAAGAAGCACAATAACCTGTGTGATACAAAGATTGTAAATTTTAAAAAATCTGAGACTTGAGGTGGGAACTATACTAGAGCTTAAATTCTGAGCACCTGGTTCTCATAAGGGTATGGATGACAGTGAAAGACTAAAATCCTTCTGCCGAGACCCCATAACCTGGATTAAGTCTCTGGTTAATTCCCTTTAATCATTGTTCAGAGTAGTGAATAGTCTTACTATTAGATGGAGTGCATTGACAAGTGGATTAATGCAAATACAGTTAAAATACACTTTATAGTTTTTTCCTCTCTAACTAATTTTACATTTGTGCCTATTTTTAATTGTTTTCTGTGATGATTTTGTGTTTTTTATTTATTACTATAAGTAGGTTTTGGGGTATGATGTTCTTATAGGACAGTAATTGGACTAATAGTTTCTTAGGGTTATGGCAAGGGAAGTTATAGGGAAATAAGCAGCTAATAATAATTAGTACCATAATGAGGAACATGTTCAAAAATAGTTGTGATGTTGATTGCACAATCATTTTAAAATTCTTAAATCCTTGAATTTTATGACTTGTTAATCATATGTCAATAAAAATGTTCAAATTTTTAAAATAGAGCACGTATTTTAATTAAAAATTAGTGAGTGTGATTTGTGAGATCAGAAGAGATACACTTGCAAGTTTTTACTTTAATCAATCTAGAACAATTGATTTATTAGAACTTTGACTTTATATTATTAAGTACTGCATGCTGAGAAAGGGGCTTTGGCTTTAGCTCTGAAGGATGGACATTAATACATGTTGTTATTGTATGGAAAGCAAGCAGACCAGAGAACTATGAGAGTGCTCAGTTGGAGGGCATTTGAGGCTTCTTCAAATATTCATATACAACCAAGTCTTGAATAATGAATAGAACTTACTTATGAAAGAGTCAAGAGTCAGAGTGTGTCCATGAACACTGGTATGGAGACAAGAACGGGGAAGAAAAATGTAACAGGATGGGCAAAACTGAAAGGCATGAAACAGCATGGTGTGTGGAATTAGACTGATTAACTTAATAACTATTATATAAAATAATAATAGGAGAAAAGCAAGATTTTTTCTCACATGGATATATATTCATTAGTGTAATATCCTTATCACCCAATAACTGTGTTATGGGTCTCCTTGTGTGGGGATGAGTGATGGTGATTTACTTGGATTTAAGAGAAGAAATTAGATATGCACAGCTATATTCCTTTTTTGGTTTTGAAGTCAGCTAATCTTCAGGATATATCTATTTTCCATGTTTTATATTGACTTAGGTAGGTCTTGATCCCAAGTTAAGGTAGGGCTTGCGAATTGGTGAAATTAAATTCTAGTAACTTGATTTAGGGTTATTATAATGTATTCTGGGGGACAAATCTTCAGAAATAATTGGGAAAGAGAATTTGGGGGAGGAAAATATATGCTATAGAGGCTTTTGGTATGGCCACCTACCTTAATTTAGCTTTTGAATTTTATCATTTATTGCTTTGTCCTTGTGGAAGCTTTAATTGGCCACCAAGACTTGGATTTCATAGTTGTGAAGTTTGTTATTAATTACTGTAGGCTGAGAAAGGAGATTTGGATTTTGCCCTGGGGTATTTTGAACTTGATGGATGACCTGATTACAACTTATAGAAGTTTTGTCCTCAGCTAATGTGTTTGTTTTTTTTTTCTTTCTGTAGAAACAGTGCTGCCCATGCCAGTGAGAATTAAGTGACTGGGAAGCTGACTTCAGCAATACTGAGAAATCACTCCTGCCTCAGAAAAGATATCGGGTTTCTTAGGCTTGAAGAAGAAATTAGGACAACTCAAAATTCAGCAGAGACATAAGACCCACTGCTATCGAGTTAATTCTCACTGATAGTTCCTCTTCCAACATTTTGAAAAACTATTCCGGAACAGACAGCCTCGTTTTTGCCCATGGAGCACCTGATGGATTTGAAATGCTTACTTTGAGATTAACAGTCCAAGGCATATATGCCAGCTCCTTAGCAAAGACTTCAGACATTGAGACATTTAGCAGTTATCGGCTATGCTAACTCACCAAAATGAAGTTCACTGGTCCATGGTCTATGATGATATCCAAAAGAACACTCGTAGTTGCAGGCACATGGAATAAAGACTGTCTCAATAGTCTGATGATCCCCTCTGGAGGAGAATAACCATGTTCTAAAGAGGATAAATGGTTGTCTTATAACTTAAGGGAATAAAATGTGTAACTTCTCTTTATTTCTGTGCATTTCTAAAGCTTTGTAGTAACTTTTACAATTGATAAATTTGGAAAGAAATACCAATATGGGACAAATGCTCATTATCTTTCATCTCTCTTTTATTAGGAGCAATCATATATTCCAGCCTATGACGAGAAAATTTTATGACAGTCCTATGCTGGTCCAGGATTATCAGGAAATCTGATTAATCCTGGGATAAATTATGAGAAATTTCTTTTCCTATACATAAAAGTCATTTTATCTAACATAATCCTTATTAGTAAATAAATGTGTTTCCCACAAATGATAATTCCTTTGTATAAAATATCTTTTGGTCCAAAATTCAGGGTAGAAGACATGTGATATCTATAGGATCCACTTTGAGATCCACCAAAGATAAAACTAGTTAAATGCCTACAGGCTGATTTGACAAACTATGACAACTGAGGAGAATGGTGACTCAGTGGGTAAGTATTTGGCTGCTAACTGAAAGGTTGGCAGTACTAACCCATGAGTCATTACACAGGACAAAAACATAGCAATCTTCTTCCTTTAAAATGTATACAACATTCCCATTGGACCAATTCTACTCTGTCCTGTAGAGTTGCAGTGAATTAGAATAGATTCAACTGAATTGGAATTTGTTGGGTTTACTGGCAACTGTCTCCATGCAAGGCATGATTTGTAGTGATAGGAAATGTTCCCAAAGAACGGTCCCTTTTATCAAATGCACCTGCCATCATTCAAGTGGCAGAATTTTTAAACTCTGTTATAAATGGTCAATTTTTTTGTATAATTAAACTATGCTACAAACAATCTTAAAAATGTAATCATTAAAAACAATAATATTTAAACTCATAATAATACAGGCCAGAAATTTCTCCTGTTCTCCATGGGGTATTTTTGCATTGGCCAAGTTCACTGAGAAGAACCCTGGTGATGAAGTGGGTTAAGTCTTGGCTGCTATCCACAAAATCAGTGTTGGAAATTCATCAGTCACTCGGTCCACAGGAGACAGATGAGACAGACTGTCTGATCCTGTAAACATCCCCTCCTCTGAAACCCTATGGAGCAGTTCTGCTTTGTCCTAATATTGTCTCCAGTTTGGTGGATATGATTTTTGAGTTATGACTTGGAACTATCAAAGCCTTGCTCCAACTATATTCTATGCATCAAAATAGGACACAGAACCAGTCTAGATTCAAGGGAAGAAGAAAATGCTCCTCCTCTTCGTGATAGGAAGAGAAAATCACATGACAAAGGAAAATGGAGAGCACTGAAGGAGGCCCTTTTTCTAGTATTTGCTCTGAGGCAAGGCTGCTATCCTTGAGTATTGATATGCATTTTAACAGGCTCCATGTTGCTGCTTATTTCTCTATACTTATTTTCAAGTTGGTAAAGGTCTAGGTAGACCTGTTGGGCATAACAAAGGGTTTCTAAATTGCCCTTTTCTCTATTCACAGTCTTACTGCTCAACAGCTTAACTGCTCAACAGCCAAATCAGACCTAAATGTCCCTTAGAAACCTGAATTTCATGTATATGAAGTTTTCCTCATTCTGTTCTCACTAATGTTATGCTGATACATTTAGAAAGTCTGCTTCAGGGTTTGCCGGTCAATTTAAAACGAGGGCTTGCCTTGATTTGAAGATTGAATTTTTTTCTGTTTGATCAATTAGATCATATACTGAGGTAAATAGATGGCTCCTATCACTATGGAATCAACTCTGACTCAAGGTGATCAGATCTGCAATGCTCCCTAGACCCATGTCATCTTCACAGTCACAGGCATGCTCAAGTCCATTGTCTTAGATAATACGCCAATTCTCTCCCCAACACTTGTTGACCTTTGACTTCCCCAAACATGATGTCCTCCTCCATGGATTAATCCCTTCTGGTGAAATGCTTTTACCCAAACCTTCTGGTTTTGTTGTGATCCATAAGATTTCCTCTGGTGAGGTGTCAGAAGTACATCTCCAGGTCTTTCCTCCTTGTCTACCTTTTTCTGGAAGCTCCACTAAAATCAAACCACCATTGGTGAATTGTTAGTATTTGAAATTCCAGTGGCTTAATTTCTAGCATCTGAGCAATATGTAAGCCATATAATGTATGATAAACTGACAGACAGGTTTTAGAGATTATATATAAGATGGTTTATAGTTATAGTCACAGGCTCTTGAAAGACTATGGTGGTCTACGTACTGTTTTCTGGAACTTAATTTCCCTGTGAGTTACCCTGTGAGAAGCAAAAGTCAGGATTTCCTGAGTTTAATTTGCTACATGATAATTTATCTTTGTCCCCCGCTCCTGACTACCTGCACTGAGACCTGCTATTGTTTCTGAGTCTGCAATGTTTGAATTGGTTCTTGTTTACCCTTCTGAACCTACATCAATCAGGCTGTCAGGTTGGACATCCACATTTACATAACTAATGGCAATCCTGCTTGGTGTCATTTTAGTTTGTGCTGTGACTAGAGATCTTATTTACACACTGATGACCTTCCAAATTCCATTTCTGTTAATTTTATCTGTAGGTCCTTGAAGTTCAAACTGCAAGATTCCTGTGTGTTCAAAGAAATGTTGTCAATACACTTATACATTCCAGTTTCTGCTAATTTTTTTGCTTTTATTCATCACCTCAGCTGTTCATTTATTATCTTATTGATTTAACAATTTTCATTGTGATATTGTAGTATCCTCTGGCATGACTCTTTTATTTTTTAACTATAGAAACCTTGAACCCCATATTGCTTGTGTCAGAATATGATGCCGTGCTTGTGTTATACAGTGTCACAAATTGTCATTTTAGGTAGGACTGATTAATAATTCAAGATGAGAGACTAAATAAATAGACTTTGCTCTAGTTTAAGGAGGATTGATTGAATTAACTGGTCTTTTGGTTAGATTGATTGAATATTCCTTTTATGATTTCCAGTTGTTTCTCAATGATGCTGAGAATAGCCTGTATTGCAGTTGTTCTGAGGAGTTATTGGGCTAGTGGAAACAGACCCCAGATTCAAATTTCTTCTATAAATTTGTACTTTGAATAGGACAAAGACAAAATAAATGTAGTCATCCAGATGAGGGCATCCCAAATATATGCAACAATATGCATATAATTTCAGAAGCCAAAGGAATATGTCAATGTAACCTATGGTTTTCATTATATACAATAAAGAACAAAGGAAATCATCAGAAAATCATGATAGAGTTAGGTCAATTCATTACTGTCAAAGAACCAAAGAACAAAAGACCATGACTGGTGTAGTGACTAGGATTTAAGTCAATTTGATGTACTTGTATGAAGGTAGGGGAGGAATCCAACTTACCAATCAGGTCACAGCCTGGTGACATCTCCTTGGGAATATGGCCTTTTTATTAGACATGCTGTGAAGAACTTTTTTCTTTTTTGCCTCTTTCCTTCCTGCCTGACAGGTTCCCATATCTCACATCTAGGACAGTAGTCCATGTGGCCTACTGAGTGCCAAGGTGCCCACTCCTTCCCATATGTAATAGATGTTGGATCCCCGTGACTCTGCACCCACCAGCCTGAGATCTCCCAGCTCTGACATTCCTTTCCTGCTTCATCCACTAGCAGCTTTGTGAATCTCTGTGACACTCCAGAGAGTATCTGATCCATGGACTTGAGTTGGACTGAACTAACCTCATCCTTGACATAAACATATTTCTTTACATAAATCTCTTTCACATTCATATGTATATGACTGTGTGTGTGTGTGTGTGTGCGTATCAGTGGTGATTTTGATTCTCAAAAAAACTCAGCCTAACACTAACACCTTAATTGGGATAGGTCAATAATTGCAGGATTAAGAAGATTCTAAGGTTTATGCTGGAGTTTTGATTACTAGGCTACCCTGCATCATAGTCAGCGGGATTCCAGCTTTTAGCTAAAATTAGAAAACATGCATTCACTGGCTGCTTTCAGTAAATGTCCAGGTAAATTCCCTAGTTCTCCTTGAGAGCCCTGTCTACAAACTGGTTAACTTAGTTTAACTCTCACTCTGCCTATAAACAATCATACCCTTGTTGGGCTTGTCCCAAACTTGTCTAAACATAACCATGCTGCTGCTGTAATGGGCATCAAACACAAGAGAGGTACAATGAGGACCCAAATGATGTCTGAATTTATGTCAAGACTCAACAAGGATTTAGAGCTTCCACTGTCAACCACAACTTTTCCCAAAACAAATGCTTAGAAATTTAAGTTTGAAAAACTATAATGTAAGATGATTTTACATTAAATAAGTTCTTTTTACAATTTAAAAATAGCACTTTGTCGTATGCCTGTTTGAAATGTTAATTTTTCACATTTGTTGACAGTGAAATCCCATATTGATTTATATAGTTACTGACCATTTGTTTTTATGTGGATAATTATAGTGTATTGCTCACCCAGTATACTCTTTTAAACTTGAACATGTTTCTGTTTCTGGCTTTTCTTTTTAATTTGGTAAATCACATGGAAAATTCAACTGTCCACATCTTTTATACAGGATTGTAAACCAAGAGGAGAATGAGTTAGATTTTCAAGATGCCCCTTTCAAGGGGGAAATGTTCAATAAAAATAACCAGAAAATACACACACACACACACACACACACACACCTGTTTTTGTTTTTTCTTTTCTCTAGCAAGGACGTCTTTGTAATGTATTTTACGATTTAATATCTATTACAGATAAGCTGACTTGAATAATTTTGAGCAATTTTGCCCTGTGTTCTATGTGCTTAATGCACATATTTGCAGTTGGATTTTCTCCAACAGAAAGTGGTTTCACTACTGGCACATTAACACACCACCAATAGGTTTTTATTCCAACTCCAAGCACTGTGGTTGAGTAAAATCACCTCAATTTTTTATTATCCTTAAAGATATTGCATTTTCATATTCTTTATTTATAAAGGATCAATGCTGCTGTAAATACAGGTATTTTTAATTTTTTAATTTCATTCCATCACCATCAGATGCAGTTCCCTATTTTGTTTAATGAAGGGATATAT